CCAGTCAAACGGCTTTGTGAAAACAACCTAAAAAAAATTCTCAATATAGGTGAACGAACACAGCTTTTTAATTACTACATATTCCCATAAAAAACAAAGAATGTAGAGGAAAAATAACATAATGACGACACAAACTTATAATAGTAGTAAAATCGTACTTTTTAGAGACGTCCACATAAACCTCGCGACATTCCTCGACGCTGTACCCTTTTCCAATTAATAGACTGGAAATGATGCTGCCTGTGCTGACGCCCACTACGTGATCGAATAACTCGCAGATCTAAAAATGCCGAATGAGACCTGAGATCTATTTGTTTCATTATAAGGAAGGCTTATACAGTATCCCTCTGCACTTAAAGCTACAGATGAATAAAGAGCTGAATGTCTTGGGTTTTGTGGGCTGTCAGCGATAGAAACATTGATAAGATCTGATGTCACGGATGGGACGACATCTTTAGCATTTAATTAAGGAAGCTGCCACATTCTTAGTCGAGGACAAATAGTAAACATTAATAAGCGAGCCAAAGACATCAGACAAGAAGAATAATAACTAATGAACATCTAAAAAGTGAAACGATGGTGATTAAATAGCACTAACCTTTTTCCCGGAAACCCGTTCTAATTGTTCGAGAACTTCAAGACCCATCATGCCACGAGTACCTCCTCCATCGATACTGAGTAGATTAACACCTTGAACAAATCAGCAGTATATATCATCTAACGCGATCGATTTACAAGAAGCAAGACTAACAAGTTTGTCGATAGTTAGAAGTAACAAGTGAAAGAAAAAAGAAAAAAGGGTGTTCTGAAATTGAGGAGCACTTAATATTTCACGAATTCTCATAGACCTACCTCTACTTTTTACTGGAGGTTGACAACCACACAACGTTAAGCACTGACGAGCTTCAGCACGATGTTCTGCGCTTACTTCATTGGAGGTAACGGCGGAAAGTAACTCAGCAATGAGGCGGGGATGCTGCAAAGGTCACATCACTATAGCAAACTATTGGTCAAATTCTTTTATTGTGAGCTTCTCCACATACCTGAGCAGCGATAATCCTGGTCGGAGGGAAACTAATGATATGAGCGCTAAGCTCCTGGATACGCATAAGTTTTGCACTCGATGACTCTGCCAGCAAAATCTTCTTCACTAACGCTCTTGTCTTAGTAGTGACCTCAGTTCTTGAAACCCTCTTTTCAAACGTACGTTTCAGGACTCTGAACTCGGCTAAAATTAAAATCATTCAACGTCCGAAATTCCAAATTAAACTTACTGGGCTTTTGTCGGCGCGCCGCTTTCGGAAGTCTCTGTCACAACAGGCTTTTCAGGGCCCTCGCCTTCTGATGTCAACCCCAAGACCTGAGAGGCTGCTGCTGTCTGAAGTGGGNTCGGAGGGAAACTAATGATATGAGCGCTAAGCTCCTGGATACGCATAAGTTTTGCACTCGATGACTCTGCCATCAAAATCTTCTTCACTAACGCCCTTGTCTTAGTGGTGACCTCAGTTCTTGAAACTCTCTTTTCAAACGTACGTTTCAGGACTCTGAATTCGAATAAAATTATAATCATTCAACGTCCGAAATTCCAAACCAAACTGACTGGGCTTTCGTGGGCGCTCCGCTTTCAGAAGTCTCCGTCACAACAGGCTTTTCAGGGCCCTCGCTTTCTGATGTCAGCCCCAAGACCTGAGAGGCTGCTGCTGTCTGAAGTGGGTAAACTTCGAGATAAGTTAAATTCTAGAAAGCGATCTCTAGAATGAAAACTACTAGAGGAGCCTAGATATGTTACCTTTGCAAGAATTGCATTGATGGCTCCAGCTAGATATCCTACGTATGTCGGGGCGGCATTTGGATCAGTTGGCTGTGGAGGAATCGTAGTATGTGTGGGGATTCCACCAAAAGTGCCAGCAGAGATATGGAAGTTTCGTTGAGCCAAAGGACACAGACAGCGCAGCCCCAGTGATCCCTGGGGGACCATCTGAAAATTAGATGACATTTCATCTAGTGAACAACTGATTTACCAAAGAAAACGGAGAGCTATACAGCTACAAATGTCAGATTCACGGATATAAACAAAAACTTCATGATTGAGCTACTTCACTAAAAAGCCGTTTTGAGCAAAAAATCTAATGTTGAAGATGAGCAGAGTAACGGAAAAAGTGACCACACGCTACACACACACCGAAACTTTACAGCCTTAATCGAGTTTTTCATTTACCCAAGCACTCGACAATGTTCTGATTAATTTTGTGATATGTTAATATGTTAATACTCTGAAGAACAAAAATTTGGAAGCAAAGGCCAGAGCCACAGAAACAAAAGACATTTTTAAAAAACGCTGATGAAGATCGAGCACTAGGCTTAAAAACGGGATGTGTGATCGACGAACGAGGGACAAATGACGTTCATCGACTCAGGTTTTGTTTTTCTCCATTCCTCCTCATATCGCTGACCAAAGACCTCATGAAAGAACTGGTAACAATTCCTGCAGAGTTCGTGCAAAATTCGAGAGCCCAGCTCAGAAAGGTATAAACAACGCATGAGAGCTAGGGAAAGTAGGAGACACATTGCCTTTTGGCCGAACGTTTCGGTATCATTCAATCTTTTTTCACTCCATTATCTTCGTCGAAACCTCACGTGCAGTGATAAACGGTGATCTTAATGGACACGAATGAAACCGTAACTAATGAATGCCAACTTGTAATAATACAGCTTTTTCTGAAATAATACCAATCATGGAGAAAACCACTAGCAATAATCTAACGATTTCGATGGCATTTGCGATGGTATGGGCTCTGGAAGATGCCCTCACTGAAAAATTGAGCGCCATATTCCAATTTGGGTTTTCAATTACAATTACAATACAAATACAACTACATATTCTAGATATTATTTTCTTATTCCGTTCAAGTTCTTGTGGTTAAACTATGCCGATAGCTGAAAAACAACGAAGGCAGGGGACATGTGATTAAATTTTAAATTAATTTATTGATTCATCAGACGATGCATTTTAGAGCGAACCTATTTTTAGGTGCACTTAATGTAATAGAAAACAAGTAAAGATGGAGAACGAGGAAGCGGATCTGGTTAGAGCCTGAAGAAGCGATTCCCAGCCAGGGAAAGGAAAGAAATTAACTATAATGACAGCATTTTAGAGAGAAGACAAAGACAAAATCATAAAAATGAAATCCCTTTCTTCTCCTCTTTCTCCCACCACTCCAAGCAAGATACGTGTTCGAAACTATTACGGGCTAGAACGAATGTGGATGCATCGAGCCATCCTAGCGAGAGACTACTGCATACAAAGTGCTTGAACTTTTTGTTTCTCTCCCAGTCATGATACTTTAACTTTCCCCATATTCTATTCAATGCGGTCTTGCTGTGGAAGTCGGCTACTTAGAACCTTTTCGAATAGCTCACCACTCTTCATAGAAGAATAGAGAGCCTTAAGAGTACTGCCGGTGAAAGAAAGAAGAGTTATACACCCAGCTTTCAATCTACTCCTTCATGCTACTACTTCCCGCAGAAAAATATTTAGCTATAGAATGATGGAGATCAGGTCCTATTACATGATACAGCATAACTTACTAAGTGGCAATACGGTAGGAATTTCGAAACAGATTATGTTTCGTTTTTGTAGCCAAACGGTATCGGGAGAAATGGTATTCAATGGTGGGACAGGATCGATTGATGGAACTGCCCTCCCCTGTAAGTTCCACAAATGCATTCTCCTTGGAACTACTTCTGGCTTCCATACCGGTTCAGAGGTATTAGATCGTCAACGAACACATTTTCGAAGGTTTAGTAATCGAATTAAGCCGTACAATCAGTAGTAATAGAACAAACATTTCAAATACAAAATAAACAAATAAGTAAACAGAGCGAGGATGGAAAGAACGAAGTATTCCATCATAAAGTAAGGCGATTTATTCCGGAAAGAGAATGGAAGTACTGATCGAGTAACGTAAATAGGCTGTCTAGACGCCACCTAAGTGCAAAATAGCAACAGGAAAAGTCGACACGAACTTACGTCGCCAGTATGTCTATCAACAACAGTTCTTTGGGACTTGGAATGTTTATGGAAAAGTCGATAGACAGCTGAATGAGCAAGCGTTGAACACAGCAAGCGATAGGAAATTGAAAAAGAGAGTTCGATACGCTCGTGTGTTGTCCCACACAAGTGCGGGATGTTTCGATTGTCCGCAACCCGCACGTGATGACGCCATCCCGCAGACATCACGCCATCTCCCCGACGGGAACAGCTAGCCAGCTGATCGCCGCCGAAGGTTGTAAAGGTACAGACAGTGTCCGTTGACTCATCCGCAAAATGAGAAAACATCAAATGTTTAACCAATTGGGTTGGAAGTGTAGTTGAAGGGGACCAACTGTAGGTTGCTCTGCGTCTCTAACGCTAATTTCTAGAGAAACAGATGGAAAGGACGCCAGCATTACGTGTCTTTAGTGGTGCTTAGAACAGGTTTCGAGCCAGGAGGAAGGAGTTTTAGGCTTAGGTCAAGGAGGTGAGGAGCACCGGGGCGTGCGAAATGCTGACTTCATGTGAAAATTTGGGTCGGGAGAGGAATTGGCCAGTAGGACACTTGCCCACCGAGAGAGCCCAGGCAAGGCTGTAAGAACGAGTGTCTCTTCAACTACATTTTCGTCAACATTAGTATCAAACAAATTAAATAACAGAAAATAATATTTCTAAGGTAGCAAGCTCCTACCGTAACCCATACCGTTTCATACTGCTTCACTGTATCAATCATACGTTCTATTAGTGCCATTTTACTACTATTTTCAGTGTAAGGCAGTAGTAGGATAAGTAAGAATGTGAAGTCAAACTAAGTTCTCTCTGGTGGGCGGGTTTGTACATCTAAAGTCTCGCCTGGACGAGTTTTCATACCTGACTTTCCTAATTGAGCGCGGAAAATGAATTATGATTTAAGAATTGGGTGAACCTTTCCCGAACTCCGCCATTCGCCTCGAGCGCAGAGAGAAATGGCTTGGTAAATCAATACATATCGATCATAATCAATCATCTTTACGGGCAAGGTTGGAGGAGACGGCCCTTCACTTTTTCAAGCATAAGTTGAACACAAATAAAGACTATGTGCACTCGTCAGGAAACCCTAGTTAAACCGTGCAAAATATGGCTCTATAAGTAAAATGTCCTGATAATTCGAAAATGCGGAGCGCTCTGAGCTTAAACTAGTGAAAAGATACCTATGAACGTTCGAAAATTCGCTACAAAACATATAATAAGTTGCGCCGTGCGCACAGCACTGACCACACGCGATTGGCTTGTCCGCGTTCAGAGTTAGCAGCAGCCATCAACGACTCTGAACGCAGCCGGTGACCGTTACCGGTAACCGCCAAGCATTCTAAATGCCAACTTCACCTGAACTGACCTTAAACAGGTACGTAAGTTATGCTTATCCATATATTCGGTGATAGCTTAGCTCTTATTTTTGTCTCTCTCCCATTTCACTGTGTGACTGCACTTTCACAAAAAAAAACTACGTTTGCTTCAGAGTTTGCGTTGGCCCAGTGCCAACGTGCGTTTCTGGTTGGAAACGTCCTGACTGTATTTCCCCGCTATTGACAACATTAGCGGGACGCGTGGAGCCTAATGCATGTCGACAGAGGGTCAATGCACATCCTGAGAGAGCTACCGTAAGATCTGTCGTAAGTTTGGAGAAGGGAGTAGAAAGAAAGAAATTGGAGAGAGACAGAAAAAAATGGGACTGTGGGAAGGGATGTATTGACCGAGCAATTTCATAGGGCCAGACGCCCTGGAAGAAACTTTTGTCTGAGGGCATGCTTCCCTATTTACCCAGATTCCTTGAGTTTTTACAGTTCGCAATTTGCACGAATCACGCAGTGCTCGACGCATTCGGGTATAAACGTTCTTTGAGGCTTCTGAACATGTGAACGTCCCCACGTCCCCAGTTGTTATCTCTGGTGGGAATGAAGGCTCTGTCATTCTCTAGAAATGGTGTCAACTAGTTTTTCAAGGAAATAAAGCTTCTATTTTTAGGGCTGATCAACTAGTTTTTCAAGGAAATAAAGCTTCTATTTTTAGGGCTGAAGAAAACAACTCCGTTGAAATGCTGTTACGTAGCTATAATTTGTAATAGGTGAACCAGCACATTCACTCAATGTCCAGAACTGGTTATTGACATTATATCACTTCGCTTAAAAACACAACTGAAGATGCAGCTGGTTCGGAGATTACCTTCTGAAACGAAAATTTTGCGAGAGAAGAGAGAAGGGCCTGTGATTGTCGCGTTGCTGGAAGGGAAGAGGAAGGGCTCGAATTTTTTGTCGAACGCCCACCATCGTCAAGGACGCCCATCGATGCTGTGTCGAATGTACCTGCAGGAGCGACGCAGCTGAGTAGATTCTCTGCAATAGAGGGAATACTGTATAGAAACGAAACGCTCTCTCACGTACTAGTACGATGCGTATCGGAATAACCACCCGATCTCCCTTGATCGCGCCATGCACGCGGCAGATCGTTGGCAGTGGTCTCTTCAAACTGCATTGACCATACTCATCCTTTGACGCTGGCCTATCAATACTGGAATATTCCGGAATGTAAATGACCACTGATAAATCAGCTCGATCGGAACCATTTTTCTAAACATTTTTTATTAAGAGACTGAAAAGATTTAGGTTGACGGTCGAACTGCTTTCCCTCAAAACTCGGAAACCCCATACCTCCTGACCTCATCATATCAGGATTAAACGATTCCTTTCCACAAAGGGAAGCGTCTTTTATGGAGGTCTATTCTAGAATCCACTCTTTTTGACCGCTCGACTTATTTGAGAAGCAGGTTTTAAACAGGCAAATGCTTACAAAGGTGGCCTGAATGAGGTTTATTTCGGCTTCATCTGCATGTGTCATTCGCTGTTCACTTAGAAGTCTGGAATTTTCGGACCCCTTTCAATACCTGCCAGTATCGTAAGAGTGAGACC